AATATCTGTCATTTGAAAATAATTGTATAAGTATTGAATGCTGCTCCGCCGTCCAATTTAATTTATACTGTAACGCAAGATCTAATCACAATCACAATCTCTTTTAATAATTGAAAATATCATTAGTTTTCTGAAGCAAGAAAATAAAATAATTACAAGAATTTTATTGTTATGACCAAGTTGCGCAGATATTTTATATGGTGAAAAAGCTGTGCAATGACACCGAACTGTCGGTAGGCATGTAAAGATAGTTACGAAATCGCGCTCCAGGATCGAATAGACGTTTTGACACCGCGGCAAAAAAGGATCATGCACCTCAGTAACAAAAAATATTTCACGTATAAATATAAAATATAATAAAAAATATTAATTAGTGGTATTTAATATTAATTTAGTACTAATAATATTTAATAGGAATATAATCACATGTATAAATAGATGTTACAAACAAGCAAGTAATTTATATATATGTGTTATTAACGAATAAAGCATAGTTACTGAAGTCACAGTAAAATCAGAGTTTCTATACATATTGTATAACATTTATACACACACACACACACACACACACACAAAATATAATATTAGTTGTCAAAAAAATAGAAAATGTATTTTTCACTTAAAGTAATCTTCGTGTTTTGATAGCTACGTCAAAATTATTTTATCAAGATTTATATCTCTTCATTATTTCGTTTGTAATAGATACACACAACGAGCGTTCAATGGCAGAAAAATAGTCATTGCATTGATAGTGAATGAATTAAATCAGAAATTTATGTTGCCCTTTTTGCATTCTTTCAAATTTTTTACATATGGCAAGTGCTTCGTTTGTCACAGTGCCTAGTTTTCGATCTGGTTATAACTATTGCAGCTTTCAAACAGCAAAACAAAATCGCGTAAAATGATCATACTTGACGATTACGCGTCGACGAAGACTTAGTTTGGTTCGATTTAGTTCTAGATTTAGTTCTTCTAATATTCCGGAACCACATACTAATTTTTTGGAATGACACTCCCATCCTTTCGGCTAGTTCCATCATTTTTCTTCTATCAGGATATCGAGTTTCCTCTAATACTCGCATTAACTCATTCCGTTGATCAACCGTGAATTTCCTACAGCTCACTGCTATTTTCGGTTTTTCCTTTTTGCTTTTGTAATCGGATTTAAAACCCTTTGTTTCCTATAATGAAAATACATTAACAATAGAAAAGATATTATACTAGTATACATGTTACCAACGAATAAAACAGTTGTTAAAATTATAGAGTGTATATGTATTACATAATGTGTAGTTTATAAATAATATTAATTATCGTATAAATTCGTGGAAATTGTATTTTTCATTTAATATTGTACTTTTCATGATTTAATAATCATAAAATTGTCAATTATTATATCAACATTTATATTCTTACATATATTTTGTTTTTATTTAATACATAACGAGCGCTCAACAAAAGAGGCAGAGTATAGTCATCGCGCATTGAATTAAAATATAAATTTATGTGGTTATTTTTGCACTTTTTTTCGATTTTTTTATGAGGCAAGTGTTTCGTTCGTTGCAACCTTCTGGGTTTGGTTATAACTATTGGCTTTCAAACAGCAAAACATAACTGAGCAAAATAATCATACGTAATGATCATACGACAATGAAGGCATAGGTTTGTTTGGATTATATGTTCTAGTACTCTGGAACCATTTTCTAACACTGTCGAATAACACTCCCATTCTCTGAGCAAGTGTTTCCAATTTATTTCTTTTCGGGTATGGAGTTTCCTCAAACACCTTTACTAACTCGTTCCGCTGATCATCCATGAATATCCTTCTGCTGTTCCACATTTCATTCAGCGGCATTTCTGTTTCACTTGTGTGATCGAATTCAGAACCCATTTTTTCCTAAAATAAGAGCATATTAAAAATAGTAACAGAAATTATTCTAGTATATACAATAAGAATATTATTTTAGACCGTACATGTATATATATATATATATACCATATTTGTAGTCATTCTGCGCGCTGAATTGCTTTCCAGATTTATAAACACAATTAAATTATTGTAATATCATAAATTAAATTAAATTAACAAGCAATTTTTAATAATTGATATTCAATTAGACATCACATTAGAAAGATGTTAATGTGTTAAAACTATAAATAAATTTATTTTAAATGCGAAAAATATTACCTCGGCCGGCAGTTGAACCCGGATTTCTTGTATTCCGTACGAGCGTCCTAAGCCTTTAGATTACCGAGACCGGTATTTTAGTATATGTTTATATATTTAGTATATGTTTATATATTTATAGTTTCATAATATACAATATATCTTTCATTAGAAAAGAAATTTTGATGTGCCATCCAACTTAATTTATAAGATCTAATCACAATTACAAATTACAATCTGTTTTAACGATTAGAAGTGTCTTGGGTTTATTAAAATCCAGCGAGAATATAAAACTTTATTGTTAATTACAAAACTTTTATTGTTAAACTATTAACTTCCAGATAGCAAAACAAAATCGCGTAAAGCAAATGTACTACATCTTGATAAAATGATTTGTTTCTTCAGATTTAAATTTTCTTTTTATAAATCACATGTAAATCACACCTGTTTACAATCCTATTCATTGAGTAAGTTTTTTCTTTTTTTTCTTATCAGGTTGCGTCTCTCAAATACCTGTATTAACTCGTTCCGTTGACCATTCGTGAATTTTGACTTCTGTACCCTTTATCAACGAATTTTTCATTATATTTTGGCATTCGGATCCAAAACTCGTTTTTTCCTATAAATTATTGTAAATAAAATGATAAAAGAGGTCCAAAAGTCTCGAAATAGCTAATTATATCAAAAAGTATTAGTTTATTGAAAAAATGTTTCAACTAAAGTTGTGGAGTTTAAAAAATTTATTTACTAATCCTATCAGTTCGATCTTGAATGGTATCGCCAGATCAAGATCATATCGATTTTTTTAAATAGGACACCCCATTGATTCCATTTTTTTATTCCAGAATTTAATAACTGATGTCAAGGACTTTTTAAAACTACAAGTTCATTTTTATTAAGTACTTTTCGAGTTATAAGTTGAAAGTTGAATGACTGTCGGCATTATAGCATTACCCAAGGTGTCCGATCGATTAAAATTTCTTGAAGATTGTTCCCTTTATTGTTATTTTTACGTAAAAATGAATTTTTAGTGCAAAAATGAAAATAAACTGATGCTTGTTTCCAACAATAGATTAATTTTATCTTGGTTTAACTTACTTTCATCTTTTTCAAGTTCTAAGAATTAGAAAAGAGCAAATTATAAACCAAGATTAAAATTAATCTACATTGATGGAAACGAGTATTAGGGGCTCAATAAAAGGAACAGGGAACAGAGAACAGAGAATAAGAATTTCAATCTATCAAAAATCATGTATTGCGGAATACACAGTTTCTGATAGTTGAAATTCTTATTCTCTATTCTCTGTTTTCTGTTCCTTTTATTGTCCTCTTAATACTAAGAATTAGATATTATACTGCATTGTATATTAAAAATAAGAATGAATATTTATTATTAACATACGCTCTTTATTTTTGATATAACACGTCTTATTTTGCGTAGGGATCTGTGTATTCATTTAGTAAAGCGAAGATTTAATACGTAAAATGCGCATATGGCTACAGAATATATATATATATATTTATATTAATATATTTATTAAGGAGATTCTAAAGCCTTGTATTACTGACTAAATCATAATTTTTATATAACAATTACTTTTTTCTCTTTTACAGATTCGAAAATCCTGATTAAAGTATCCTACGCATTTGTGAGATAGAAAATTTATGTGGAGAACGATAAAAATTTTCGAAATTGATCTCTTAAAAAAAATTTTTACGCACAAATTTTATTGTGTGTGTACGTGCGCGCATGTGTGTATTCGTGTGTGAGTGTACAAGTGCGTGCATAGTCAAGATCTAAAAAGTTGCAACACTTTTTTTAAATGGGTTTCGGAATGTGCAGCCTACTCACTACTGAGCGATTGGTTCATTTGCGGATCCATGTATAAAAATTAATCACAATGTAAGCAATTGGTATTCCGAAATCCATCGAAAAAAATATTGCAATCTTTTAGGTTGCCTGACTATACAAAACTAAAAGTGTGACCGAAGATTTTTAAGGGGACGAAACATTAAATTAAGGCTGCGTTTGCTTTGGCGCTCACGATGCTTGTGAGCGCCAAATCGAATCAAACAAAGCAAAACAAAACGAATCAATTGTCCTTATTTAATATTTAATAAGAAATAAGGCTGACACGACGCTTAAAGTATTGTGAGCATCAAAGCGAACACAGCTTAAATCTCACGTGCCTAACATCACACACCGACGAGATACTATTAAAGACTCTCGGCATTTATGAAAATTCGCGTGCCTGTTAAAATTTAAGTAATTAAGAGTAATAAACTAGTTATACGGTACTAATTTCATAATTTATTAGTTTTGTAGACATGTACATACGTTTAAAACTTAATATTCGATTTTTATTTAAAACTATGATTTTAAAACTATGATTTTATGATTTGATTATCAATAGAGATGATAACTGCAGAGGAAAAATTGTAATTTTTCGGCAATATATAAGATATTATATTATTAAAAGTATGCATACTTATTTATACAGCTTTTATATAAAAAAAAAATTACGAATTTAATAATGAATTTAATTATATAAAAATATTTATGTTAATAATCATAAATTTTTATTAATTGTAACGTTATCGTTCTTCAATTATCTCCGAACTCCCTGGGCCCCATTGATAATCACGAAAATTTTCCCAGGATCGAGGTCTTTAATAATATCTCATCGGTGCATCACATGATATTTCCCGACAATGGAAATAAAGTATTTTTGAGGCGCGTTCTACTTAACGTTCGCAATATTTTCAAATATTAAATAAGGATGAAATGATGCTCGCGAGCATTGCAAACATTAAATGGAATGCATCTTTGGATGTTGAGCCGCCATAATTTTAAAAACTATTTTCTGTCTGATAAGACTTTTGATCAGTGAACCAAGATCATTAAAATTTCAGCCAATTTGATCAGGATTCCTATTTCCATAAGAACTGTTGCGAGATTCTTTACAAATTAATCTTCGAATAGGTATGCGGAGTGTGTTAATACACCCTAGACATAGTTTTTCTTAAATATTTCATATTTTTAGATTAACAACAGAGATTTAGTATCTTCCTATTATTGATTACTTGACATATTGAAGTGGTAATGGTTCATCGATATTGAAGCAATAAACAGTGAGTGAAGAGTAGAACGTCAAACATGCTGGGAGTGTTGTAAATACACCATTTATTCACTTGTCTTTTTTTATACTTCATCTTCTTTTGAGTTTTTATATAGACAGAAGTTTTTCTCTGTTATAATCCAGAGTTGTCTTTATATTATTTTTACATGTCTTTATTTTATTAGAACGTAACTAATGTAAATTTAATTATAAAAAGTAAATAATCTTATTTTTCTTTTGTTTTTATTGTTATATATTTTATTTCTATAAAACAAAATTTAATTTTATGTTTTTTAAATTCAAACATTGTTTTACATATTTTTGTCATTAAAATATTCATTTCTTGTAAAAAAAGTATTAATTTGATGAATGTATTAATTTGAAATCATTTTTGTATCTTTTATTTCGCTACTTATCCTATCTCCAATTCAATATTTTTTAATGACAATTCTATGCGATTTATATTTGAAGGTACTATTTAGTACCTTAAAAATATTTGTACTTTAACTCTTTTTTAGATTTGAGTTAAATTTTCCCAGGACCGAGGTCCTTTTTATATTTTTTAATAATAAGTGGTGTTAAGAAATAAAACGGGAAAATTCTTGATTAAAAACGCCATTCTGGAAAAAAAATTAAAAAGTATTGTCCAGAATTGTTAAAATTCATTATTTTTATATTTCTGTATCTTATTATTAAAGTATATCTAAATGTAAATTTAACTAAAATATAATATTCTAGAAAAAATATAATTATACAAATAAAAACTGTTTGGTGTATTTCAGTATTCCACCTATCTACTTGCGTTTCAAAAATCCATCTACCTACTTGAAGATTAATGAAGTCATCTAGGCTAGATGTTTAAGGGCAACAAAATGCTTAATCCATCATTGCGTCCAGACAAGACTATTACCCAATCGTTCGTATTTTTAAATGCAGCTCTAAGGCTTATTATTGATAAATATAATGAATAGAGGAAGACTCTTCTTTGAATAATGCTTTGAATAATGACCTGCGCACGAAGTTGAACCATTTTGTCGCAAGCGCATCTTCAACGCGCTCGAACCTAATCGTCTATAATTTCGTGTAACTCCTCTATTTTTCGCCAAATTGATTTATACCTCTACAAAAATGTTCTTAAAACATTATACTTTAAAAATATATTAAAAAATTGATATTTTCACCTCTAGATGTATATGTCCCCTTAAAATATATATTATGCTATATTTACGAGTAATCATGAGTTTACAATATTTATTTTATAAGTAAATATTCCTACAGTCTATTGTGTATGTAGATAGATTTTTATAAACAAATATTCTAAGTTAACGTTTAAATATATTTTTTAATTGTATATTATATAAAAAATATGTAAATGTGAAACGCAATTATATTAAAATATGAATATATATCATTTTATATATATATATATATATATATATATATATATATTCACAGGGTATTCAAAAAGTTCTGGACGTCTTAAATATTTTGAAAAGTATTTATCAGAAAAATGTTCCATACAAAAATTTAAGTTTTTATTTAAGGACTTTTTGAACACCCTACTTATATACAGGGTATTTGGAAAGTAATCATAAATTTTTTGCAGAATGGACTAAACTGAGAAGAAAAATCCTCTACTATTTTATGATTTTAGCAATAGTTAATAAGATATTTGCTAAAAATTGTCGAAAATTGGTCTTCAATAATTTTTTACTCAAATACTATTCAATCAATTTTATAGAAAAACTACAAGAGACAAAAATTGTTTATTTTCATCTCATAGAAATCTAAGAATTTTTTCAGAACTTTTTATCAACTTTTTAGAACTGCATTTTCTTATTTTTACCAACATAAAAAAATATGGTATTAAAAAATTCTGAAAAAATTCTGAAAAAATTCTCAAAACTTTATGAGAAAAAAATAAACAATTTTTATCTCTTACAGTTTTTCTATATATATATGTCTCCCTCGAAATCACAAAACTTTTTTATTTGAAACATTTTTGTCTAAAATGCATTGTTCAAGAGAAATTTGAGATCGTCATTAAAAATGGAGCACTCTGTATATGCTTCTTAATTTTACAAAAAGAATTTATTAAGTAAAATTATAAAAAATTACTTTATTATTTTGCAGGAATACATATTCTACATACTGAATGCATTGGAGAAGGATGGGAAAATATTCCAAAATATGATAAAAAATATGATTATCTCTTTAGATATTTAGCCAAATATTTGCTCAAATGCTTTCATATGGAAAACAAAAGTGAAAATCTTCTTTGATGTTGTGAAAGAAAATGTATCCAATGTTCAGAGTTAAAAAGAAAACTGATTAAAAGAATATCATCTATATATTTGAACAAATATCTGTACAGTATCTATTCAATAAATTCTCTTTGCAATAT